GTTGCCCTACTCCAAATTTCCCCACCTTCAGCTCACCGCTTTCTCTTGTGCCTAGTTTTGCGTTGAAGTGCATGGCTCTAGAAATATCCTCATACATTTCCTCCACCTCCTCATCGGGATGTGCCGAGGTTGGTGCGTAAACCTGTATGACCTTCAGCGAATACCGTTTGGTGACTCTGAGTATCAGGTACGCGACCCTCGTCGACACACTCCCAATCTTTACAACGTTGTTGACGAGAGACTTTTGGACGATAAATCCGACACCTCCTTGGGACAGATGGTCACCCTCCCGGTGGTAGAACAAGTTGCCGGACTCGAGGATTGCCGTATTCTCCCCCTCTCTTCGGACCTCGGATAATCCAATAATATGCCAGCGCAACTTGTCTATCTCTTCTTCCAGCTCCAGTATCTTCTCGTCCGTCCCTGAGAGTGCGTGCGTTATATGTTGCCAGGTCGAGTCGTCGTAGGTGGCAACCGAACCTCCACCGGAGATTCTTAGCACCCCCGGCCCCGCCGTTACCATGGTTGCCACCGTAGCCAGGAATAACAGGGCCGCCGGGGACTGGGGGGCCTTTTTTTTGCGTCGTTATTCGTGGGGGGGATATTTGCCATAGTTGCCACGCTTGGCGAGCGGGTTGGCAACCGTAGTTTTTTATTATAACACAGTTGTTATCAGAAAGATGCTGCTACCCATCTCGATGGAGGTATGCGGGTGGTTATGTCTGCTGGGATGTATGGCGGACGTTGGGATGGTGTAAGCCCGACGATAGTTGTATTGATGCTTGTTGCGTTCTGCAGCATTACGTCTCTGCGATGGTTGTTTGGTGGGACGCTATTCTCAATGGAATTATCTGCGTCTTGGTTTGACTCACACCTAAGTAGCTTTGCTCAAGTCGGGTCCCTCCATTACGGGACTGTAGACTGTCTGACCTCTATCATGTTTTATATAACAACATAATAGTAAATCTCTGTAACTTTACCACCTATGAATGATTGAAGGCAACTTGTTGGTGGGTGAGACAAACATGAAAAAATATGTATATACTCAACGTCAGTGACAAAAACCCTTTCTGATGGCAAATTATTACTATTGTCTTATATACATATTACTATTATATAAATAATACTATTATCTGCCGTTGTATTGGTTGATGGAGCATATGTATCAACCAAATACTGGCGGTAGCTGGAGGTAGGATCTAAGGAGACTCTCAAGGCTGGGGCAGAAAGCCGCACAACGTGGGACCCGACTCCCTTGAGATGAGCGGTAGACTTATGATACTCTCTGCGGCTAGTAGCTGTGATGATCATGCAATCGGTGGTGATGCCACATACTTACATCGCGTCTGCAGGAACTGAGGTGCTCACAGAGGGCTTTTTATGGTTAGTGTGCCTATTTTCCTAAGCCGTGTAACGTACACTGTAGCTGGCTTTTATCGTATTACACGTATTTAACTATATATATACATTTATATATATATATATATATATATATATATATATATATATATATATATATATATATATATATATATATATATATAGTTAAATACGTACACCCTCAGACACCCCAATTAGTATATTATGTTATAATCATAATACATACACTGAATTTTTAGTTAAACATTTTTATGCACTGATTATTTATCAAGTTAGTTATATTAATTGCGAAAGAATGTTGTGGACACAGTAGAAATCCACGAACGCAAGGACTTTAAAGTGCTTGAAATAAAGTTCATTTTTCTTTATTTTTATTGAATGAAATTAGTAATAATACAAATAAAATTGCACTCTTAAAAATCTTATTGCCTTAAGTTACGGTCCATTTCAGTTTGTTTGACTGTACAGATTTAGTGTGACTGACTGACTGTAATTTACGTAGTTTTAGTTATTTTTGGGATAAAAATTACCTATATTAAAAATGATAGGAATAGATTCAGTAAACGATTCTGAACAAACTACTTTCTCAAAGTGCGTTAATTATGTTACGTGTTGTGTATATATATTATTTACGTAGACTGCAAACTACCTAAAACAAATTAATCAAGGTACTATTTCATAATAAATATTTGACACCATCTAATATTATACAAAGAAACCAAATTATTAAATATATCACAAATATATCAATATAACACTTGCATATTAATTTGTAAAATACTCAAAAACGACATTAATTCGCAAATATTGTTTAAAAAATTATAGATTTTCTCATCGTAACCCTAGACCTGCCCATGAAATATACATACAAAAAGTTAGAACAGAGTATGGTAAGAAAAATATAATGTTTGACGGTGCAAAACTGTATAGCGCTTTACCTTAAAATATAAAAGAATCAAAAACATTATCTTTAAATAAAGATTACTTATTGAAACGCCATATATTGGAAAATTAACCAAAAAAAATACATACTAAAATTAAAATTAAATAATTTGTACGCACCCTTATTTCCGTTTCGGTTGCATCAATTGTTCAGTCATTACATTTTTTACTGTTCTTTTAATTGTTTACGTTTTACCCGCATCTATGGTTAATATTCTTTATGCTCGTAATGGATTTCTTTATTATTGTGTGTAAATTTTTAATTTCTCGTAAGCTATTTGTAATCTTTTGAGAAATAAATAATATCGTAAACATAAAACCTATTGTAAGTCTATCCTAAGCGGGAAGGGACAATTGTTAATGTAAACCTGATATAAGTGAATCATATGATATCAAAATAATATAAGGCACTACCAACGGCTTTCAATGGCTCTAGTGAATATTAATTCTTCCAAAAGACACCTAAAATAACTAAATCACTAAACAAACACAACGTAAATAAGGGTACTAACTATGACGATCACGCTATAAATACTATAAATGGCCTATAACTAAGTCTTTGGAAAGATCATTTGGAAAGATCAAAAAATATTTGTTTATTTTGATCACGTATATAGATATAATTATATAGAAAAGGGGAAATAATATTTAATATCATATAAAGGGGGGAGGAGTACGTTACAGTATTAAGAACACAGAGCTTTAGCTTATTATTTCATAGTCAAGTAATAGATTGCAGAAAGTTATTTTCAGTGATAAAAGTTCTTCTAAGTCGCTCGTACAAATGGGTGTCCCTCAAGGCTTAATTCTTGGCCCTTTCCTATTTTTTATGTATATTAAAGACTAATCTTCTTTTGTAAGGGATAATCATGATACATTATTATTTGCTGATGATACTTCCTTGATTTTTAGACTTAAACGTCAATCCAAGTAAATAATGTTATATCAAAATTAATGCATTAGTTTAACGTTAATAATCTACATTTAAACGGCAGTAAAACAGTGATTTTATTTTACATAGTGTAAAATACCCTATTGTAGCATAACAATATTTTTGTAGTAATTTTATTTGAACAACGCCAAGAAATTAATCTATATAATTACAGATTAATCTAAAAAAATATAGTAACATACTTGTAGTGTTCATCTTATAGACTAACTTGTGGATGTCCAGGGAGAGAAGTGCTTTGCGAACCGAGCACTGTGTGAACCAAACTTCTAACATGGAGCACTCACACCACAGGATGGTCAACGATGTCTCGCCAATTCTTCCTATGTGCTCTGACTTAGTGCAATGACTTTTTTGAAGGACCTGGAGGCGGAAGTATACTTCTTTTTAGGGCGCTGGTGTTTACATTCCGGAACGTTGATGCGTCAGTCCAGGTCCGGTAGCACTCCTGCTTAGAGTATGATGCTATTTTACAGGAGCGACTAAACCATGGCTGTGATCTGCCTCCGATGGTAACCACAGAGGAAGGAATAACAAGTTCCATACCCTGAGGTACCACATCAGCGAAAGAATCAGCAACAACGTTGGAATCGTTCGGCGAGAAGCAAACCTGCCCCTAAGGGTAGGATGCAAATTGGCTGAGCTATAGTGCCAAAGACGGTAGCAACCTGCGAAATGCAACCACGATTCCAGCGAGAGTGGCACCACATTCCGGACAAGACAATGATGACTGAACCTTTAAGTTTGCCGAGTCGTTGACAACAGGTGTCTCCTCTGACGTATACGCAAACTTCAGCCCGAGGCACAAAGTGTTCCAGTTCGTACCCCGGGTAGAAGAGATACGAAGCATCAACCGTAGAGGACACCTGTGTCTCGGTCAGAAAGAGCAGAGCCGGCTTCGCCATCTCGAGATGGTAGTGTACGGCGTTTTGATTCGAATGAAGTCACATTTCTACCTTTATTCAGAAATGGTTTCGTAAGATGTATGACAATGCGATCAAAAGTTTCCAGGCTATCTCTTTTACTTGTCTTCGTGCATAGAAGTTAGGTTCTGGCTGTTCAGTCACAAAATTATGACTTCCTCAGCGACCTGTCACCTCTGAGCCATTTTCAAGTATAGATTTCCACAACATTCCACCAGGTGACATCATAACATCGATATCGTACGCCACACACTCGTCGTCGCCGAGAAGATCTTCCTGTAGTTTTTTTTAATGGTAGTCAACGGTATGTTGCTGTCTAAATCATCACGTGAATTTGAATCAGGAACTCAAGAATATATGAATCGCTATCTTTAACTCCTGGTGGTAATGTTATACCTTCACCAGCACTATCCGACTGATCTTCTGGCAACGAATACAATAATCTGAATATTTCTGTTTCACGGATACACTTAGACATTTTAACGAAACGTCAACCAAAATAATGAAATTGAATAAATGAAAACACGTAAAGTAATGAACGTATAAGTTAACCTATGTAGGTATGTTAAACAAGATCCTACTCACAAAAACAATTAATCCATCTTTTGAATAAGTCAAGTGACCCTTGTCGTCGTATGAGAATGTTGTTTTTATTCATATTTGTATGAATATATTACAATATAAATACTTTTGTATTGATATTAATAATTTAATGATTTATCATATTTATACAATGTTAAATCATTAAAGGTCACGAAGTACAGAACAGTATGAACTAATAGCCGCCTTGCTACAATTATAATAATATGATTTCGTTATCTTAACTGACTGACTGACTCACGTATGAATCTTTGTAGAAGTGGTGGCGGAGCAACAAAGACATTTAATGCAGTTTTACATCTGTTCGCGTGAGTACTAAGTTTTTAAATAGTGTTTATCTTTGGTTTGTTTTTAGTTTAACCAAGAGATAATTAATATTTGCGTAAACGCTATGATATTTTGCCTATCGATATTTAGTTTTTATTTTATTTGATAATTTTTTTAGTGGTTTATTAGCATTTTATCTTTATTAACAATTATTTACATAACATTAAAATATATGCAATATTCAAACACTTAAATAGAAATAAAACTACTAATTTAATTTATTATTATTTTAACAATGGATTTAAGTGAAAATCACGAATCCAAATACTGCGGCAACAGGTACCAAATAATTCGGTTTGTTTTAGTTTTCGAGGTATACAGCGGGTATTGGTTGCAAAGAATTATGTTATAAATTAATATAACGACGAAATGGGAAACTTGAAAGAAATGCATTTATCATTTTATATTTATATCGCAGTGTTTTGGGTAACTAACTAACTTAATAATTACAAGACGTCAAAACTGGAGGAGACGGTGATTTAGAAGACATGCAGATGTCTGAGAAATAAGAAAAAATTATATTTCGAAGACATGTGAAGTTTGCCAACACACATTGGAGCAGCGCGGTGCACACTTCCTTGCTTTAAAACTCTCTCAAAAAATAAGGGGTGGCCTGTGCCCAACAGTGTAACTTTAACTTTAAACTTTAAATTAAATGAAACCCATCAATTCATGTGATAATAAAGCTTGTCGCAAGATTTACCTGTGTACCACACCTGCCAAGCGTGGCAACTATGGCACTATATATATATATATATATATATATATATATATATATATATATTGACTTATATTTTGCCATAGTGCCATAGTTGCCACGCTAGGCATATATATATATATATATATATATATATATATATATATATATATATATATTATAGAAGAAAATCTTAGAATAAATTAAGTAACTAACTAAAGTAAGTAACATACTTTCTACATCTATTTTTTTAAATTAAAAGTAGATGTTTTTTTAATTACATTTTATTATTCTTGGCCACAACATCTTTTTGCATACACTATTTTTATAACAAAATTTTTTCAGTCATCCCTTACATACTCCTTAATGACCTCTCCCATCTTCTTTTACTGCACCCAAATATCTATTTATTATTTATTACAGCCTATCCACTAAGTCCACAGCTGAACATAGGACTTTCCCATAGATTGCTCATAGAGGGGAATTTGCCATAGTCTCCATGCTTGACAGGCGGGTCGAGAACCGCAGTTTTATATTTTTATTCACTTGTTACCGGAAAGATGCTGCCTATTACAAGGTTACCGCAACCAACTGTAACTATCATAAATTAAGTTAAGGACTTAAAGAGCATTGTAAATAGCCATAAGTACCCTTTTTGACACATTATAACCAAAAACTATAATTAAAAATCTGAAGGTACTCCGGGTTAACTTTGATATCGGGACGTCAGTCACCTCAGTCCCTCGTGACCATGGGTGCTGGAAAGCACCCGAGACGTCGGGTATTAAAATTAATATAAATAAAACGCGATAGAATCCGTAAAAGTAGTTTTAATCAACATTATAACTTTTCACAATAGAGTGAAGAGCCTCGTTTACTCTCCATCCTGCAATACTTCTTAGTTTTGTATCCCGTTTCATGTCCACCATCCCTACAAAATACATATTCTAAATACAAAAACTCAATCACATACTCGAACAACTCCCATTCTGTTATCATTTCCCATATCTATATATGTCTTCGAATATATTCAATAACAAATATTTCACCAATTCCGGTGGTAGGTTTCGGCCGCTGGTTTTTTTGTTACCCAATGCAAAATACAAATTACCAATGCAAAGTCTAGTCACCAAATGACGTTGTCGTGTTCCGGCATGATGCTTGGTGAAGCCATAGAACGGAGAATGGGTCTGAACAATAGCGTTGTGTGTGTGAACCGGGTGCGAAGCTTCAGTTGTTGCTGTGTCGGGTGCTTGGTTATGGAGGGTAGCGGGATCCAAAGCACGGTGTTCCGCTGGCCAACCGCAGGTGGTTGGGAGCCCAATTAGTAAATTAGCTACTCATGAAAGGCTGCCCCGCCGACTAGCGAAAAATCCCAGGGCGGCTTCATCGTCCCGGTTAGTGACCGGGCGAGAGGACCAGATAGCGATCTCTGGGTCGGGCATCTCTGCAGTCTCCTGATAAAGTTTCCATGGGCGCAATAGCTCTGATAATATCGTTTGGTTGCTAATGCAATGTCTCGTTCAACTACCATTCTCCAACCATATTCACTTATGGCGGCGCAAGCGAAACATACCGAAACCTAAATCACGCTATCAACATTCCGAATCATAAACAGCATATATAGAACATCGTCGAACTATCACACGGAGCGTTGGCCGCTCCCCGGGCAGAACACCTTGCCCGGCGGGAGATCTCCCCTTTTCCTTCCACGGCGACACACTGTTAACTCTGTTATATGTGTGAAAAAATTTTGGCTGAACAGCGGTTGCACGTCCCCCTCATTAAAAGTGCACCTCACTAATATTCGAGGATTGCACTCTAATCTCAGCGCAGTCCATCACCATCTTGAGACTGAGAAGCTGCACCCACATTTCTTGACGGAGACCCGAATTGGATGTCCATGGAATGTGGCATACCTTGACTGTCCTGGATTCTCCCTGGAGCACCAATTCCATTTACCTGCTGGTGTCTGTGTGACATCAGCAATGATAATTGCGTTACAGCATCTCCGTCACCTAGAAAACCTCACTTTTTCAACAATCTGGATAATCGTAGAAACAGGTTTTGAAAATATCCTTTATGCCTGTCTATCGATTGCCCAGCGGTGGCCAGGAGATAACACGATTATTTAACCACCTTAGTGAGGCTGCTGATATTACCCTTAGTTGGTAATCTACTGCACAATTGGTCTTTTTGGAGTACTTTAACGCCTGTCACTAAGACTGACAGTTCCCATACAAGAAGACCGACCATGCTGAAAGAAAAACCTGGAATTTTACCTTGACGCTAGGTCTTACTCAGCTGGTAAAAGAAGCGACTAGGGTACCCGATGTAGACGGTCACACAGCCAATTGCTTGGATCTTCTGCAGACTACTGAACCAGAAAGGTATGAATTACAGGCTACCTCCTCTTTGGGTACATCTAACCACTGTGTGGTGAAATCTGTATCGTCATATTCTCCACCTGATTACGATTCCTAAGGTGTTCGACGAATATGGCAGTACAAGAAAGCTGATTGGGATGAGATGCAACACTATTTTGCATCCTATCCTTGGCGAGAGGTCTGTTTCTTGTCTACGGATCCATCGATTTGTGCAAATCCGATAACCGATGTGTAGCGTCAAGCTATGGAGTATTTTATCCCCTTTTCTGAGGCTGTCACCAGTAGCAAAGCTCACCCATTGTGTAACGCTGAATTCGCTCAAGCTGAATTTAGCGTACCTGTCCTGGGTTGCCGCTCAAAACTGCAAGGCTCCAGATATCAGATCCAAGAAGAGAACTTTCAACCAAGCCACTAAGTCCTACAAAAAAGTATTACAGAAAGCCAGTTTCGATTGCATTAAACATATTAGCGCAAAACTCTCTGTCAGACCGTCCAGCACTAGAGCTGTTTGTTCTCTTACCAAAGTTGTTACAAATTTCTATCGGCCTTCACTGCCTCCTCTAGTAAAACCGCATGGCACACTGGCGCATACGAATACAGAGAAAGTGGACTTGTTCGCATCTCCATTTGCTATATTGGTGGAGGTATACCAGCTATTGTTCTAAAGGCTTGTGCACCTGAGTTGTCACCTGTGTTGACACGCTTGTTCCACCTCTCATTTAGGACTGGAATAGTTCCAAAATCCAGAAAGCTGTCCAACGTGCAGCCTTTCCCAAAAAAAGGCAGCCGTGCCAACCCTGCCTATTATCGGCCAATCTCAATTACCTTCATACTCTGCAAGATAATGGAGCGAATATTGAACGCCCGCTTAATGACATACTTAGAACAGAATGACCTCCATAGTGACCAGCAATACGGGTTTCGCCGAAATTGATCAGCTGGAGACCTTCTAGCGTATGCCACACACGTATGGGGCGAGGCACTCGAGAACAGTGAAGAAGCACTTACTGTTTCCCTTGATGTCTCGAAACCTTTGACAGAGTTTGGCACGCTAGCCTTTTGGATAAGCTTCTAGTGTACGGCTTATCCCCTGATATGATTGACTGGGTAAAGGACTATCTGAGTGAACGGTCTCTCCGGGTGCATTGTCAATGGCTGCCCATCCGATCCTGTGAAGACTAACGCCAGTGTTCCTCAGGTGTTAGGCCAGTTGGGATAAATCCAGTCCGAAAGAGAAGCTATGGTAGAGCGTGTTAATCTCACACTATAAGCAGTCTCCGAATGGGGCGATGCTAATCTTGTTAAATTCAACGCCTCCAAAACACAAGCGTGTATATTCACTGCAAAAAGGAGCCAGCTCACCTTGGCTTATTCTTTCCGAAATGCATCACTAGAATACACCGACCGCCTCCAGCTGCTGGGGGTCAAGATATCCTTAAACCTGAACTTCGAGCAGTTCGTTGAGTCCAAGGCCAAAGCAGCTGCAAGGATGCTAGGAGTCTTTGTAAAAGTGCGGCGATACTTCACGCCGGGACAGCTGCTTATTTTATATAAAGCACAAGTCCGGTCGTGCATGGAATATTGCTGCCATATGTGGGCTGGTGCTGCAAAATGCCACCTAGCAGCTCTAAACACAAATGAAAGGGATGTTAAGAGATTTATTTGTGACATGAATATAGTTAAAAACAATCTTATCAGCGTTGGATACAGGCGCAAAGTAGCCAGCCTTTCGGTCTTCTCCAGGATGCATTTCGAAGTGTGTGCGCAGGAATTGCATAATTTAATTCTTCCCTCTCCCTTCCACCATCGGACAACCAGACGTTCGGCAAGTATCCACCCTTCCGTTGTTATTGTAGTTCATCATGCGTACAGCAAAGGAGTGGTGACAGCGAGCCCTGAGCCCCTGACCTACCATGGCTCGTAGTCCTTCTATACGTACATATAATTCATCTAAAATCTGTAACTAAAATCATCATATTCGCCTTTCTTGTGACTACTTTAATTCCTCTTGGTTTAAGTGATAAATAAATAAAGAAGATATATTTGATGGCTAACTCTCTAATAATCTCTCATAGGCAATGTTTCTTATTTCTAAAAGAGTTTTAGAGCAAAAGAAAAAGGAATAGTTAATCGCGATACTCCATTGAGTGTTGGCGGACCTCACATGGAATTTCTTTGAGGTGCAAGTTTCTCACGATGTTTCTCTCCGCTGCCGAGCATAGAGTAAATCATAATTTCAATTTGTGATTGTCAGTTTAATGATAATTGCAATTCAACTTGTATGAAAAATATAACGACGGGCATTAAATTTGCCCGTGAACACTAGGGTTTGATCCTGCATCGTGGAAGCAGTTCACATACATAATTTGTACAAGGACAAACATTGCATGCCTCACAGTCTATAATTGTACTGGTTCTTTATCCCTCCCATCCCCCCCCCCCGTAATTATATCACTCAGTCCGGAACGCAAAAATGCAGGTATAAATATTTAAATTAACTTGGATTTCGCACGTATAGGATTTGTATTTTCAGAAAATGAATGGAACGATACAAAATGAATTCGCGAACCATTCGGCCTTTGTACTGGAGAACCACTCATCGGCTGATGTAGCGCGGGCTGTAATAGAGAGCGGATATCAAAAAGAGCCATTCTACGTATTCGACATGGACGAAGTATACCGACGCATACAGCACTTCAAGCGTGTAATGCCGAGAGTGCAAATATTTTACGGTACGAGATTTCGCTATTTTTAGCAAACTTTTATTTTTTTGGACAAACCAAATGTCTCAAATCAAGTATAGAGCAATTTTATTATTTTTATTCAATATATTGAAATAAATCCACCTTTATAATATCACCTTTATATAGAATAAATTCCGCATTTAAGGGTGGAAAAATAGGTTTGAAGTTTTTATATATGAGTAACAATTAAGACTACAGGGCTGAGACATAGGCATAACATGACTAGACATAGTGTATAGAAACACGTTGATTAAAACTAGTTTTATGGGTTTTAACGCGATTAATTTACTTGTTTTTTAGTTCCCGAAGTTTCTGGTGTTTTACAGCACTACAGACTGAGGTGACTGACGTCGTGATGTCAGTATTAACCCAGAGTACTTACAGCTTTTAAATTATTATTTGTGGTCCGATCTACTCAAAATAAATTTACTGTGTCTTGAAGTCTTGCAATGGTATGCTTGGGTTTAGTTTTAATTTTATTACTTACAGGATCTCAAACATGTGGTAGTACCCAGCCTCTTTTTTTATTGAAATAAGGATGTTTTTTTTTAATTTCAATAGCCTCACGTATCATTCTTGGTAGGAATCGATGTTCTTTCGCGAGGTTTTGTGGTCTATCAAATCAGATGTAATGGCGGAGACCGTCTGGGATAAGATCGCAAACTGCATACTTCCCAGAACGTTGGTGATTCACGTCAGCTTTATGTTATTTTACGCGGGTTCTAATTGATATTTTTGTTTGCTCTATATATGAGAGACCATATTCACAATCAAGCTTGTACACTCCTTCTTATAGAGGGATATGACACTTGAAGAGTAGTAAGAGCTGACTAATCTTCTCCAGCAACTTCTACGTACCACGTGTAGAATTTTCTAATGGAATCTCGCTTCAATATGTAGCCAATCTTGTCTCTGATACATGTGATACATGTGACATATGGTAGTAGTAGGCACACGCTCAACTGTGGCCGGTTCAACTCTGTCACTGTGACTTAGGCGCGGGATCCTAAGCTTGTTGTCGTTCAGAACCTGCTTGAGGTGGAGCTTGACGGCCAGGTGTTTAATGTCACGAATCCCTCGTGCTCTCTGTAACAAAGATTTGCCCACTGTAGTTAACTGTGAAGGATGATGAGAAGATTCACCGTTTAAATATCAGTTTGTAAAAAAGACCCATTTTTCATACACACTGTGACCAATGGTGTGTTTAAGATTTCGGACAACTAACACATCTAGGAAGGCTAAGGAATTATTTGCCTCTAACTCTTACTTAAGTTGTTCTAAGAAAGAATTAAGATGTTGTAAAAATGCGGTTACTTTGTCTAATTGTAAAATTGTGAAAGTATCGTCTACGTACCGTTTGTATAGGTGAGAACACTATCTACTTGCCTGTAAAACTCTTCCTTCCACAATAGATAGCCAGATGTAAGGCAATGTCTGAGTAGTACTGCATATTCTGCTGGCATGTTATTTTCCAAAAATTAAAAATATCAAAAATTAACAACTTAATCAATATCAACGTAATAACGATACGTAACCGTTGGTCACAGACATGAATAATTAACAACGCGCTGTCTATAAACTACTTAATACACGTTAAGTTCATTCTGCGTAGATCAGACCATAAACAATAATTAAAAAGCTGAAGATACTCCGGGTTAACATTGACATCGGAACGTCAGTCACCTCAGTCCGCCGTGACCATGGATGCTGGAAAGTACCGAAACGTCGGGAACTAAAAACAAGTAAATTAAACGCATAAAATCCGTAAAATTAGTTTTTATCAATGTGTAGTATTCACTTAAATATAAAAAATTACTATTATGAGTTGTTCAAAGTCATCGTTTACTATTAAAAGTCTAATTACACCATAAAACGGAGGATTTTATATCCTGTACTGTGGAAGCAACTTACATAAGTAAATCGACAAACATATATAAACAGTTTTATGGGTTATGCAAACACTTTTTCCGTACTGGAATCGGACCCATGGACTAGCAGCATCGTAACCAAACGTTCAACTTTATAACCGCATTCTTGAAAGGGTTCGTGCCTATCATGATGAGCACAGGCCTCTAATTTGATCGCGTGTTCCCGGGTTCGATGCTTGAATCTGGCCATAATCAGTTAGGAAATTGATAGCGCATCTGATTTCTCTTCGGTCTTGTCAGATTACCGTCCCATCGGATTAAGTGGAATAGAGAGTGCATTACAAGACTGTCATGTGCAGATATCAACTATCAATTTAAACTGGCTGCTGTAACCAAAATTCGGTTCAGAGTATATTATTATTATAATATTTACTTGTTTTATAAATTTTAGCTATGAAAGCGAACGACTTCGATTTACTATTAAAACTAGCAGCTATTTGTGAAGTGGGATTTGATTGCGCCTCTTCCGGTGAAATTTATAAAATAAGGCAGCTGGGCGTTAATCCTTTGTGAGTATATAAAATTTTTCGCCATGATATATCAATAAACCTCTTCTTTCTGTTGATATTGTAGCAAAAGCCGAGTGATTTACTGATTAAGTTAACTCCCACTTTTCCTCAATCCTGGGCCTTTCATTTCGACTTAAGCTAATATAGCAGATTTTATGTGATTAAATTTTACATCATTTTTCTATCATTATTAAACAAGATACACAGTGGGTTTTTAATATCATTTGTAATGTGTGTCAACCATTGTATTAAAATTCAATGTGTCTCAATAAAGAGGTGCTTTGTAAGTATTTCAAACTCTTGTAAACCCTTTTTATATTTAACTCTACTAGTATGTTCGGAATAACTTTAGTATTGAAAAATGAGTGCTAACGAGTGTTTACGCATTTTGTTTGTCAAACGGTAATTTCCTATTTTTGTTTCCTTTAAAGTAAGTGTAAACCAGGTGCAGATGCAATGCATCAGAAGCACGTCATCGATGAAGCGCCAATTTTAATATATCAAAGTCTTTTATGAATTTTAATCTAAAACAGTCGTATAAACGTTGAGCTTGGACTTAATTTTACATCCACCATACCATATATTTCATAGATTCAATCATCGTCATACATCGCGGCACCGCTGACGTGATTGTGTTTTGCTTACGTGTCCGGTATGCTTCTTGCGAGCCTTTTTCATACGAAAATATAGAAAATAAGACGCTCTGCTTTTGATCACTTCGCTGATCACGGAACGCTGGCAGTGAACCGAAGCTTACGACCACCTTGCACCACAATAAACGCTTTTATCAGCCAATCACCACTTAAAGATAAGCGCTTTTGAAACTGGTCAAAAAGGTATCCATCAAAATGATGTAAGTTTACTTGTATAAAAATTATATTGATTTTTAACTTTCGTTATTTAGGAGTATTATATATGCGATGCCAACTAAGACGCCAGAACAGATGATCTACGCACGTGAATCTGGTATTATACATACTACATTTGATTCTTCTTCAGAACTAAAGAAGATAAAATTGCATTGGCCTGAAGCAAGGTAAAATAATATATTTAAAGAAAATTCAAACAAAATTATATGTTCTCAAATAAAAAATAAAAACTACAAAACAAAGAGACTATATTGTATGAAAATTCTAGGGGTTTTGGCGGAAACTTGACTGCCATTGGATGCTCCTGTTTTATCGTTTGAATAATAGTTTGAAGTGAATTTGATAAGTAAAAGTGGTTCAATTTTGTGTATTAAATGTCAGCAGACGTCAACTGTATTAGTGAGCATGATGAAAAAAGTGCTCTGATGGTGACGATGTAAGCCTCAAATTATTGTGTCCTTTGGCGACTTGAGATAATCTCGCCATCGACTGTTTACTGGCTCAAGCTGCCGTCAAAATCTTCAAAAACTTCGCAATGTGACGCATCAACATATTGTGAAAAAATTTCGAAACAAATTATCATATAGGATGACATTGTAAAAATTAAAGTAAATTACCAAATTTTATGTTTTAAAATTAAAACTAATATATTTTTTATTAAAACTGTATGCCAGGCTTTTGATCCGAATTCGCGTCGATGGAGAATGTGTTTATAAATTGGGCGAAAAGTTTGGGTGCAATTTTAAAACGGAAGCGGTTCAGTTATTAGAAGAAGCAGCTGAGCTCCAATTACAAGTTAGTCAAAAATTTAATTTTAATATTTACGCAAATATTAGTGATATTTTTTATGTTTATTAAATAGTTTTTAATATTTTTCATTCTTTAACATTAAGGTTTTTATTTTTATTTTATTTTTATGAAACTGAAGAGACAAGCGAACTTACAATCCACCTGATTGTTAGTGGTTACTGCAGGCCATGGACAGCTGCAGCCAACTACATACCAAAGAAGGCTTCACATGCTTAGTCATTCGTGACAAGATGGAATTCCTGTAATTATATACGCTGTCTTTAACCTGAACTCGAAGACTATTACTGTAAACTATATCCCTCACAAAAGTCTACCTACCTGACCATGAATGCGATTCCCAGGGCCACGCTGACTTGCCACTGTACCGACAAGCAGACAGACATGTGGCCAACTTAAGAGTGGTAAAGCTGCGTATACACTTTACGTGGTAGAGCCATGCTGCAGTTATATTAGTAGTATAGTTGTAGCACGAATGGGTCGGCTCGACCGGGGAAGGACCACGCTCTCACAGAATACCAGCGTGAAATAGTAGCTTAATGCTGCTGTATTTCGTATGGTGAGTGTAGAGAACCGGAGACCCTTTTTACTGGAAACGAGGCATTCCATCGCAGTCCTCACGGGTGACAACGCATCTGCATTTTGATTTTTAATGGAGGATAGATGTAGATGTCTATGGGCCGCAGCAACCACTTACCATCAGGTGGACTGTGTGCTCGTTTGTCACCCTATTCTATAAAAAAAAATGTGTCTGTATATGTCACGTGCGGGACAGGCCAGGTTTCGAGAAGGATTAGGCTCCATAAACCAGTAAGTTTACACAGTAGGGCATATAATATAGGAGAAAACAGAGCATAATCAGTGTCTTGCCTTTGTGGACTGTGAGAAAGCCTATGACTCCGTTGAAACTTGGGCTGTTCTGGATTCTTTACAGCGATACCAAATTGACTGGTGGTACAATAAGTGTTGAGATGTCTTTACAAGACCAGTACGATCTCCTTCCAAGTACAGGATAGTAAAACAAAACCAATCCAGTTGTATTGTAAAGTAAGACAATTGGATGGTATATGTTCTCAACTGTTTACAAAGGCACTGAAAGATGTTTTTAGGATGCTAGACTATAAAGGACGCGGCATGAACGTGAATGGTGAGTACATCTCACTCTTGCGCTTTATATATTATCGTCATGGCAGTACGCTGCAAGAACTTTAGGATATACCAAACAGATTGAATAAAACTAAATTTACGGATTCTATCGCGTTTATTTAACTGATTCTTATTTTTAATTCCCGAAGTTACGGGTGCTTTACAGCAACCATGGTCACGGGGGGGACTGAGATGTTTGACGTCCCAATGTCATTGTTAGCCCAGCCAACTTTAAGAAATCATTATACTTAACAGACTCAATGAATCCTCCCGACATGTTGGTCTGTTTATGAATCACATGATTAAAGTTATGTTCAACGATCACGTCATGCCGTTCCATTCATTGCTGATGGTGATATTCTCAAAGTTGTCCATGTATATAAGTACCTCGAGCAGATATTACAACTAAGTAGGAATAACTTTGAGAACGAAGCCGTTCGAAGGATTCAGTTAGGCTGGGCATCATTTAGGAAGCCCCGTCGGGTTTTCTCGTCACCCCTACCACAAATTCTGAAGAAAAACGTCTTCACCGAGTGCTACGTACGGTGAGTGTAGAAAACCGATGATCATTTTTACTCCAAACGAAGCATCCCAATTTAGTTCTTAGGGATGAAAACACATCTACATTTTTATTCTTAATCAAGGGTAGATGTATATGAAGCAATCCTACGGAGATCAATGATTACTGACATAGCCTTCTGTGTTTGTAAACTGAAGTGGAAATGGGCTGGTCATGTCTGTCGCAGACATGACAACCGGTGGAGTAGATGTGTTATGGAGTGGAGACCGCATCTAGACAAACTTAGTGTGAGACATTCGCTGACTAGTTGAAGCGACAATATGCGCAACGTAGCTGGTAGAAACTGGATGTGTGTATCCTAAGATCAGAGTAAGTGACATGAGTTGGGAGATGCATATATGTCCAGCAGTAGACTGCAGCAGGCTGATTGTAATGATGTCCCTTTACACTGGAACATAACAACGCAAGTACTGCTATTTGACTGCAGAAATAGGTAGAAAAGAAGTTCCACCACCTAGTATATGATGTAAGAATAAATTATAATTAAATGAAAAATAACAGGTAGTAGGAGTTGCTTTTCATGTCGGAAGCGGATGTTCGTCTGTCGATAGCTACGAGAAAGGCCTTTGCTGCGTGAAGGCCTTATTTGAACACGAAGCTAAAGCGGGTAGAAAGATGAAGATAGTCGATATTGGAGGCGGATTTCTAAGTGATAGAACAGATAGAATTGATGAGGTTTGTAATATATATTTAAAATTAAAATGCCATCAAAAACATAACTTGTAAAAAAAACAAGGCACGCAATTCAGTTCTTCTACCGTAAAAAGTTGTGAGATCCATGTAATACGAAGTCGGTCTATTTATCTCTCTCTATTTATCTCCTTACTTAAAGTTTCTTCTGTTTTAGGTTATTCTGACTTAAGCCATCGCTTGAAAACACAATGTATCTCACAAGTAATACATACGAGTATTTTATTAAATTAGATTGTTTAGTGTGTTAAGTCAATCTATTTATTTAAAACATAAAAGATTTTTAATATTGATATGGTCACTATAAGATTTTGTTAGGTTAACTAATTACGTAATAACTTAAAACAGAAGAAACCTTAAGTAGGGAATGAATAATTTGGTCGACTTGGTATTACATGGATCTCACAACTTTTTACGGTAGTAGAACTGAGTTGCGAGTCTTGAATTTTTTTTCCAAGTTATGTTTTGATGGCATCTCTTTTCTTTTTGTAGATAGTCCTACTTTTTTCTTTCCGGTACCTTCTCCTTCTTGAATACCAACAACGTACCTATCTAGATCTATTATTCCATTATATTAAACATATTCAGGGACACTGATTCATTGACTGCAAATGTAACTTTGTAATCCTATATATTTATATAGGATTACAAAGTTATTTATGCAGTTGGTATATCTAGAAAACTGCCCCGAAATTGCAAAATATATTAGTTTTTACTTGATTAATACACTTAACATTAAATGTATTCTAAACTTGAAGTTTCTATGTCTGCTAGAAGTGCCTTAGAGTTTTGATAATCGGTCAGTCAGTCAGTGAGTGAGTGACAAAATTAAGATTTTTGACGAGTTATAATTCTTAAACTGCAGGTTCGAATTGAATCAAATTTGCAATATATCGTGTTTATATAATACCTGCTTGGTTGCTAAAAACACGAGCATCTAGCTTTATCTACAACGAGTTATAGTGGGTCAAAATGGCCTGAAATGCTTCGAGAAAAGGATGTTACGGCCGTGCCGCCTTTTCGCTCGATTTGGCGAAAATTATGTAGGCTGTTTTTTTCAGATAAAACAGCCTACATAAATCCTCCAGCTAGAATTTCCTTGAAACAACTTCCTAGGAGCTGGTGGAAACTGAACCAATCGAAATTGCTTGTGTAATGTGAAATTTACAGACAGCGCTAGTCTATGAGCTACCACGACCCTTTTGTGTATTTGTATGTTGTCAATTTTGATGCTTTTCTTTTAATAATAAAAACAAATTATGATAAATTATTGTAACAGGATGGCTCGGGACTACAATTTCAGACAGCCTTTTACTTTGATTTACATTAGGACAGGTTCTGTCGAGCCCCAACCGGATAAAGCCCTATTTTTTTCAATGCGCATTAACTATTAAATTTTCCTTAGAGAAACAATAATTTATTAATGTTTTATCATTAGGTGGCTAATCGTATCAACAAAATTTTAGAGGAATACTTCCCAGATCAAGATGTGCAGGTGATAGCGGAGCCTGGAAGATACATTTGCGATTCCTCTTTCACTCTTTACTGCAGTATCTGTAGTGTTCGAAAGGTAACTGATTTATTATGACGTTATGTTAAACTGATGTTTGTTATTAGTTTCTTTTACGTTGATTTTCAAATCTAATTAAGAAGATAAATAATTATATTAAAGAATATGTATACAAAAGATTAATTCTTATTTGGAACGTACTAAATTTTTACGGATTATATTACTTTTAATTATTTATTTTAATATTGTGATGAAGTACACATGGCAATTGTGTTTCTTTTATGATTTAGTCTTCTAAAACACCTACTTACAGCAATTTCTCTCCTTATTAAAGTGTCACCAAGAATGTTTAAAAGTGTCAATGAGGAGACGTGTCGCACTTAGGATGTGTAATTAAGCTATGTCATAATTTCAATACAAATGTCCTATCTGCTACATACATCAAAATATATTTCTTACGTTTCAAATACTTTTACATCACTTACTTATCTAGTCTCGGGGCAGTGTTTAAGATAATTATGTCATAGTAACCGTAGTTACCGTCAGCTTCTTGTAGTTAATTTTGTTTGGGACTACGGAAACCAAAAATTAATATACAAAATTAAATAAGTTTAAGTAAAAGTTGATGAAGGTAAAAACGGGGTTAACAACATCATCAAGACGTTGAACACCTCTCGTATCAACATAAGAAATAATTAATATTGTCAATAATAACAACAACCACAAATATGTATAACAGGTGACGAGGAAAAACGAGGTAGTGAATATGATATATCTAAACGATGGACTTTATGGGACGCTAAGATTTACTGAAGCCTGGCATACTGTAGAGAAATTTCAGGTTAGTATTATACGTGATTGAGTACATTTTTATACATATACAAGCAATCCACCCCGGCTTCGCTCGGGTGATTTCTGAATCTCGGCAGCAGCGCCACCTAACGAGTTCTATTGTGAATTTAAAACATTCAAAGATTCACTCGGTTACATATAAAGTCATCAAAATCGGTCCAGTCATTCTCAAGTGATGTTATTTCATACCTGCGGCAATTGAATTTTATTTCTATATGCATTTATTCGACCATCACTGAATACTTGATCATACATTTATTTGATGTTTAAAACAGAGTTAACCAGTAAAAAAATCCATAAAGATAGTTATTACGTTTTATCTTCTGCTAATTATAGCTTATTAATGTTATTTTTTCAACCATATTTTTATTAACACATTTATCATTTAGTAAATAAGTTTAAAAATGTTAAATGATAAACGCGGATTGTACCAAAGGTCCGTATACATTTATATGTAAGAAATAAGATTCAAATAAGAGATAATAATAAATAACTTTTCATAAAAATACCGTGTAGTAGCATTGTAAGAATATAAAACTATCTCATATCATCACGTGGGAGTCGTAAGAGACGACGGAGGGAAACAAATCAGGGGATGTCAAGCGTGGCAAGTAAGGCAAATATCCCCCCTATGACGCAATTTATAAGGAATGCCTTTATTCAGTAGTGGACTTTAATAGGCCGTAACAGTAAAAATTAAAAGGTGACCTTAGAGAGCCGTGGTAGCTCAGATGGGTAACGCTCTCTGTAAATATAACAGAACGCGAGTAACCCTGGTTCGATCCCCGCTGGCACCAATGAAATTGTTAATTGCAATTATAAGTGCTGATTTACCACGTCCTCGGCGGTGAAGGAAAACATCGTGAGGAAACCTGCATTTCTGAGAAATAAGAAAAAAATATTTCGTAGACATGTGAAGTTCGTCAACACGCATTGGGGCAGCGCGGCGGACACTTCCTTGCCCTAAACCCTCTCAGAAATGAGGGGAGGCCTGAGCCCAGCAGTGGGACGTATATAGGCTGTAACTTTACTTTTTTACTTTTTAGGAAACTAAAAATAATATTAATTTTACAATCCGAAGTCGGTGCTCAGAAATAGAGTATTGAAAAATTAAAACCCCGATTTCAGAATGTGAATTTATTTTATCATATTTAGTTCCATCCCTGAAGTCTGTGATTTTTTTTATTTTTTTTACGCTTTGAAGCGGTTTAAGTAATATTACATTCTTAATGTCGTGTAAATAAATTATTATAATTATAATAGTTTATTAACAGCCTATTTAGGCATCTTAATGGGTGGAATATTTTCTCCAATTTAATGGGGCATAAACATATTATATAATGACAAAACCTCTGAAGTATAAACTATTTTATAATCAAAGAGTCGCCGAAACAAGTTCACAGTTGACAAAGACATCACGTACAGACATACTGTTACATACAAAAACATACAGTCGATTTGTCAACCATAGGTTGGTATTTTTATAAAAGGCTTTCCAGGTATACCACTTGTAATGGTCAAGTTTCACTCCACGTGGAAGTTATACATTAAAGTTATATGTTTTAGAGCTACGCTGCTACTATATTATGGTTTGTAGCACGAGTGGATTAGCTCGCCCAGGAAAGGACTCGCTCTCTTAGAATACCAAGGTAAAATAGCAGCTTAATGCTGCTATGTTTCGTACGGTGAGTTTAGAAAACGGGAGACCCTTTTTCTGAAAACAAGGCATTCTGTCTTAGTCCTCAGGGATGACAACGCATCTGCATTTGATTCTTAATCGAGGATAAAATGTGAATGTCTATGGGCCACAGCATCCACTTGCCATCGTTTGTCACTCTTATTCCATAAAAAAAAAGTTATAGGCATATTAAAAATTGATATATGAAACGATTTAAGTAAATTTCGTGTAATGATGATGATGTAATGACGCACATATTATATATATATATATCATTATAGAATACTAAGAATGTAAATGGTGAAGAAAACGCAACAATAGAAAAAGTGATCCTTTGGGGCCCAAGCTGTGACTCAGCGGATCGAGTTATGCAAAATATGACAATACTTTTACCTAGCTGTACTCCAAATGATTGGTTGGTGTTCGCGACTCAAGGCGCATATACGTTCACTTTTGCTTCACAATTTTCTTGCTTACCATCGCCACGTATTCGTACTGTTATATCTTCTAAACTGTGGTAAGTTTATTCAATAAGTTGGTGGTATAAAAATTAAAAATGATTTTTAGAATAGTAAAGAATGACTTTTATTCAATATAGATAATTAAATTATTAATTCATTAATTTATTTGTTTATTCTTTATTGCATTCCTTAATTTAAAATAATACAAAGAGGACACTTAATGCTTTGAAGCATTCTCCACCAGTTAACCCATGGAGGGGTGAGAATTTGACGTAGTTTTGTGGATATATATAAAATAAAAACAAAATCAAAATGATAAATCACTACGTAATATATACATTTTACTAGTATATAAAATAAACTAACTATACCACTCATTGAAAGTCATTTTTTAATTTATTTATAAATAGTTATATTTAAAAATAAAGTGTTGCGATAGTATTTTAATTAAAAATAACAAAATTGTTTACTTTAGGGCTGATTTTTCACTCGTCAGATAAAAATTATCCATTAACTAAATTATAACCTCACTAAAAATCTGCCATTAATATAAGTAAAATATTTAATATAGTTTATTCACACAATTGTATTTTCTAATTTGTTTATGTTGTGATTTATCTTATGAATAACTTTTTTCTGATAATTGAACAATCAGCCCTTAGTTGACTAAAAAAAGAATTATAAGGTTTTTATTTTGTCATGTACTCGCGGCGCACCACTACCCTAAATCAACCCGTCATCGTAAGAGGCGACAGAGGGAAAGTAAAAAGGAAGATGGGCAGCAGTATCTTCCTAATCTTCCTAATAATCAAAATCAACTTAACAATAAAAACCCAACCCGCCTATGGCAAACATCTCCCTGAAGCAATTTATTGGGGGAGCCTACGATCAACTGTAAACTTTTGGTAGGCCGTAATGAATGAATTAATGGAAATTCTTTATTAGGTCAGATTTTGGAACATTATATTTTATTATGAATACAAATAATTAATGAAGAAAGTTTGCTTTTGAAATTTTAATTATATTTTCCGATTCTTTTGAATTCCCATCAACAAAATAAGCTTTGATTTATATCCATCCATCCATCACAGCTTATATAAGTCAACTACTGAGCATAGGCCTCCCTCATAGATTGCCTCAAGGGAGATTTTTTCCTAGGTTTACCTAGGTTTCCTAGGTTTACCTAGGTTTCCTAGGTTGCCAACCACAGTTTTTTATTATATTGAGCTGTTATCAGGAAGATACCGTTGCCTATCACCTGTTCCGTTTTCTCCCTGTCGCCGCTTGAGTCACCCTCGGGACGATAAGGGGTAATGGATATTTATATAAATTACTCAAATAAAAAGAAAATTTCTTAAAATAGTAAATTTCGAATCTGACTTTTTTTATAAATTTACCGATGTTGTTATAATATTATATCATTAAGGGTTATAGAGGTAGGTGTATTTATTAATAATATTATATAATGTAACTATTAATGTAACATTTTCATTATTATTGTAGGCACATGATAAAACAAAGCGCAGTTTTCATGCCGTCTGACTTCAATGTGAAACCGGATGTTGCTGTTCCACTTCAGTCCACAATGCCACTCCTAATTGCAAAACAAAACAAAAATGATGATTTAAAATCACCAACTTTGAATGTTTAAAATTATACAAGAACGGTTTTTTAATAATGTTTTTTTTTTATATTAAATGTCCGTACCTAGGCTGCACTAAAAGTATCGGGAATGGAATATTTCCACTGTTCTTGTCATATTAAAATATTTTTAATTGAAAACTCCTTGGTTTTTAAAATCGAATACCATTTATTTATTTAAAAAAGATTCTCGGTCTTGTCACGAGGTTTTGTCAAACTTGTTTAGTCGTTGAGAAAATGGAATTGACTCGAGAAAATTCAAGAGCGATGATTTATTATGACTTTCGAAGTGGTTTAACACAAAAACAGTGTGTTGACCGGATGATTTCTGCATTTGGTGATGAAGCCCCATCAAAAATCACAATTTATTGCTGGTTTGCTGAATTTCAATGTGGACGTGTCAAGCTCAGTGATGATCCCCGTCAAGGTCGTCCAAAAACTGCAGTCATCCAAGAAAACGTTGATGCTGTGCGGAAGCTGATTGAGGAAGATCGACATGTGACATACCGCGAAATTCAAGCAACTTTATACATTGGCATGAGTCAAATACAAATAATCTTGCATGAACAATTCGGTATAAAAAGTTGTTTTCCCGATGGATACCGCATTCGCTCTGTGAAGAGCAAAAATCGGCTCGCGTTACTTGGTGCGTCAGAACTCTCGAAAGTTTCCACGCAGGATCCTCAAATGCTGTATACAACATCGTATCAGGTGACGAATCCTGGATATATGCGTACGAACCCGAAACAAAAAACCAGTCACGAGTTTGGGTGTTCGAAAATGAGTTAAAGCCAACAAAAATTGTTCGTTCACAGAGTGTTGCAAAAAAAATGGCGGCCACGTTTGTCTCCAAAACCGGCCATGATACGACTATTCCTCTTGAGGGACAAAGAACGATTAATACAGAATGGTATGCTAGCAATTGTTTGCCACAGATCGTTTCTGAACTCCGTAAAGAGAACTGCAACCGCAGCATCATTCTCCATCACGACAATGCGAGTTCTCACACCGCACACAGAACAAAAGAGTTTTTAGAGCAAGAAAACATAGAATTATTAGACCATCCGCCGTACAGCCCCGACCTAAGCCCTAATGATTTCTATATTTTCCCTAAAATAAAGAATAAATTGCGTGGACAGAGATTTTCATCACCTGAAGAAGCTGTGGACGCCTACAAAACGGCCATTTTGAAGACCCCAACTTCCGAATGGAATGGTTGCTTCAATGAGTGGTTCCATTGTATGGAAAAATGTGTCAAATTTCGCGGAGAATACTTCGAAAAGCAATAAATATATTTTTAAATAGTAATGTTGTTTCACTTCCTTGATTCCCGAAATTTTCAGTGCCACCCTCGTAAACACGTTTTTGAATTTAAATGGATAAATATAATATCATCATCATCATCATCATTACAGCCCTTCGCAAGTCCACTGCTGAACATAGGCCTCCCCCAAGGTATGTCACAAAGCACGGTCCTGAGCCACCTGCATCAAATCAATCAAAATCAAATCAATGCATGTCTTACCAGGTCATCACTCCATCTAGTGGGGGGTCGTCCTACACTACGCCTACCGGTACGAGGCTGCCACTCAAGAACGTTTTTTCCCCAACGGTTGTCGGTTTTTCGAGCTATATGGCCGGCCCATTGCCATTTCAGCTTACTAATCCGTTGGGCTATGTCGGTCACTCTGGTTCTACTGCGGATATCCTCATTTCTAAGTTTATCACGAAGAGAAACTCCGAGCATAGCCCTCTCCATTGCTCGCTGAGCGACTTTGAGCGTCTTCATACGGCCAGCAGTGAAGGACCACGTCTCAGATCCGTAAGTCATTACTGGCAACACGCACTGGTTGTACAACTTAGTTTTCAGGTTTTGAGGTATACCTGACGAGAAGATATGTCGTAATTTCCCGAACGCTACCCAGCCGAGTTGAATCCGTCGATTGACCACTTGGTGGAAGTTGGACTTAAGTAGTCGGACTATTTGTCCCAGGTAAACGTACTCATCAAAAACTTCGAGCTTAGTGCTCCCAACAACTACCGGCGTAGGTGTGACATGGACATTCATGGTCTTTGTTTTGTCCATATTTATCTTAAGACCTATCCGTTGGGAGACACTATTGGGGTCATTGAGCATAGTGCTTAAGTCCTCCAGAGATTCTGCCATAAAGACTATATCGTCGGCAAATCGAAGGTGGGTGATGTACTCGCCATTGATGTTAATACCGTATCCTTTCCAGTCCAGTAACTTGAAAACGTCTTCCAATGCATGGGTGAAGAGTTTCGGGGAAAGAACGTCACCCTGTCTTACACATCTCTGCAGTTGGATTGGTTTCGTACTCTGGTTCTGTACTCGGATAGCCATCGTAGCCCTACTGTACAAACACTTCAGCACTTTGACATACCGACAGTCAACTTGGCACCGCTGAAGAGACTGTAGCACCGCCCAAATTTCGACGGAATCAAAGGCTTTCTCATAGTCCACATACGCCAGGCAAAGTGGCAGATTGTACTCTTCGGACTTCTGTACAATTTGCCGAAGGGTAAGTATGTGGTCTATGGTACTAAAGCCTTTTCCGAAACCGGCTTGTTCGGGAGGCACGAAGTCGTCGAGTCTGCGTGCGAGACGATTCGTAATGACTCTCGAAAATAGCACGTAGACGCGGCTCAGAAGGGATATCGGGCTGTAGTTCTTCAAGAGAGTGTTGTCACCTTTCTTGAAGAACAAGACCACCGCACTTCTGCTCCACGCCTCCGGAGTAGTGCCACCGTGGAGGACGGAATTAAAGAGCCTCTGAAGGACTTCAAGTACCGGTTTTCCACCCGCTTTCAGAAGCTCCGCTGTAATTCCATCCTCGCCCGGGGACTTGCCGTTTTTAAGGTGCTGAAGAGCCATTCTAATCTCGCTCAGACTGACGTCCGGGATATCATCGGAATTTATCAGGTTATTGAAATATGAGAATTCATCACTTTATTATGTAAAGCCAATTGTAGGAAATATCAGGAAAAAAGAATGCCCTATAGCTGGCGTTCATATCGTATGTTATATGTGTGATGTTGACGTCGCAGTACCGGACATCTTCATCATCACTTTTAAAATTTGAAGATGGTTCCAGTCCCAATCGAAACATTTCTGCCGACATACAAATTGTTGAATTCCGCCATTGGGAGTCCACTTTTGATCATATTTGGGGCTCTTAAACTTATGCACAGTTGCTGACGTTTATTTATATTACTTATTCTGAACCTTCTCTGCAAATTGGGGCATACATTGCAAAATAACCCAAAATATCCGAAACTCTTAGCCGGTGCATCGGAAGTCGTTTTCAATCTACTGTACTCTAGGATACATGTGGTACCGTAAGTGACAAACTATGAAGGTAACGTTGAATATTGATATTAAGACATACTGACTCACTGCAATATATAAGGTCGGGGAAAAAAATTCTTCGTAAGTACTCTATATATAAATTCAAAACATTTTTGTTTATGTTTGATTACATCTAATTATAATATATATGTGCCATTTAGTTCGATAACTTGTTGCCATCTTGTAGGTATAAGGTCGCAAGGTCAGGACTATACGACGGATGCGTTAAATTTTTGCCGAGTGGCCAAAGATTTGTGTGATCTGGCGTTATCATGATGAAAGGCCACTTTTTCTGTTGATCAATTCCGGCCGTTTTTTCTCAATTTTTTGCTTGATTCTCATTATTTGAAGGCAGAATAGATCAGAATCGACGGTTTTTGCCGGTGGTAAAAGATCATAATAAATGATTCCAATCCCACTATACACACAGCATCACATGTTAATCCGAGTTTTGCTACAGTCTTTGTACGGCCTTGATTACCCTTTGACCACGATCTTTTTCACTCGTTTTTGTCGTAGGTGATCACTTTTCATTACCAGTGATCAATCTTTCCAAAAAAAAATGGTTCGGTTTCATAACGTTTCAATAGAGAATCGCAAATGATTACTCGATTCATTAGGTTTCTTTCGGTGATATCTTGTGTTACCCAAATATTGAGCAGTTTTGTACGGCCAGATTTTTTTCAAATGGGTCATAACTGGTTTGTGGTCATCTTCAATTCCTCGGCTATGTCGTACCTAATAATATGTCGTTCTTGCTCCACTTTTCCATTAATGGCATCGACTTTAAACGTATGAGGGTATTCGGAGCGAGTTGCATTTGTGACATCAAAATTCTCGAACCGAAAACACTTAAAACAACTTTTTGCTACACTCACTGATACCACATTAGGTCCATTAACGACACAATTTTTTTCGCGGCTTGTCAAAATTTTTCCCTTTTTTGTAATAAAACTTCAGAATTTATCGAATATCTTCGTTAGATTCACTCATTTTGGCGGACGGAAAACAATTAAAAATGGCGGGAAAGTATTTTTTACTCTTTATTTTTCTTTTTCTTTTTTAATGTCCTATTTGTATTGATAATAAAATCAGCCAGATACAAACAGTACAATCAAAGAGATTTTCCTTGAATTTTATGCAAACAAAATACGGTGAAACTTTTTCCCCGACCTATTATATTTTTATTGGAATACATTTATTATTGTGAAAATGTTATTTGAAAGGTATGGGATTTTTTTGCGTCTTACGTTGTTTCGTTCCTTCTTGTTTATTTCATAAATTTGTACTGACAAACGAACGTACAATCCACCTGATGGTACCTAAGTTGCAAATGCAGTCCATGGACATCATCAAACATATCGAAACGAATAAGGCTACAGATGCGTAGTCACTTCTGAAGACTAAGAGGGAATACCTCACAGTCTTTAATTATACTGGCTCTCTTTAACATAAGACCAAAACACAGCAGAGCACTGCTCTCGATTCCATTTCGGAAATTTTATATCTACTATATATAAAATGATTACAACGCCATTTATCGGAATCCGTAATATATATCGGGCATTTCCCATAAGATAATCCTGCTAATACACGATTAACGGGTTAATCAATCAACCTCTAGCTCACTGGTTAGCTAC